TTTGTATTTGGTTTGGAAAAAGGTTTTTAAATCAAATTTGTAAACGCTTTTTGCACAACAACAACACCAAAAACAACAACAACCACATGAACACAAAAAACATTTTGCGCCTCTTTTCTGCTGTACCGTACATCCGCCTTGTGTATATATATTATTTGTATTTGGTTTGGAAAAAGGTTTTTAAATCAAATTTGTAAACGCTTTTTGCACAACAACAACAACACCAAAAACAACAACAACATGAACACAAAAAACAGTTTGCGCCTCTTTTTGTTACGCCTCAAAATAAAATGAAATTTAAAGTTATAAAAGAATAATGAAGAAGAAGAACATGAAACGTTTATCATTTGCAAATTGGAAAAACTGTGTCAGCAATGACGTCACAGCAGCTCTGAGCTCTGGTCGCGTAACCTTCATTCAGTGCATTGAACCAGGTGGCATGCGCAGTGCAGCAGCTCCTTTTTCATTCATAGCTGTCATTGAATGCGCCAAGGATGTGAATGTGGATGCTGCGGCGGCAACTGCTGCTGCTGCTGCTGTTGCTGCTGTTGCTGCTGCTTGTGAATGGGTTTTTGCTGGCTCGCCAGGCGCTGCATCAGAAACTGGGTCAGCCCGCCGCCATGGGTTCATTCAACTTATGCCAGAAGGACAATTCTGTCGCACACACAGCACGGCACAGTTCTCGAGTGTGCCATACATACATACACACACACACACACACACATTTGCTGCAAGTGCGTCACTCAAAATCTGTTTTATGCTCCACTTGAAACACATTACAGCAAACTCCTTGTGTCATTGAGGCTTTGGCATAGCTCATGGCATATCCTTGAATCAGCATTTAATATGCATTTATATATTCGCTTTCCCCCACCCCATTCAAGCATCAAGCTGGCCATAAAGCCATTAGCTGTGTGGAGGCTATCAGTTGAGTCACTGCAAGTATTTGCTGAGCTAAGTGGCTTATTGTAATGGAGATGACATTTATATGACTTCACCAAAGTCTTAATCAGCTCAAGCAGCAGGCCATGTTGGGGCTTAGTAGCTGATTTTATATACATATATAATATATATGCGGCTGGACATAGCTGAACTTTTTATTCTGCCAGCAAATGAAATCATCGAGAGGAATTTAGCCATGAGCAGCGTTCTATTCTAAATATTATGCTACAAGGAAAGGATTTGTTTTAAGTTTAAGTGTACGATTATGTACGATCTATATACATACATACATACATAATGCCAGTGGTTAGATGTAAGTATAAGATTCTTAGATTCTGAATCTACAAATTGCTTATAAGCAAGAGAAACCTATTAGCTGAGTAGCTGAAGCTATGCTTGAAAAGTTTTCTTTTCATAATGATATGAAAAAAATTGGCATAGTATTTATATATAAAATATATTTGTTTTATGGGCAGTGCGATAAATAAGAATTTTTTTTGATTAAGTATATATACATACATACATGGTAATATATATTTAAAACTATATAATAAAAGGCTTAAATAAATGTGTTTTTGTAATACACGCATATGTATAAAGTGGAGTGTATATACATTATGGTATGTATACACACACACGCATATATATGTATAAGCAGACAGCCGCAGCAGGAATGGCATTAGGACGTAGGGCAGAGGAGCAGGAGGCGCGGATGAGATTTTAGCTGGCTGCCAGACAGGATAAACGCTAGATATAATCCTCAATGACGCCACAGCGCGCAGGCTGTGGCCATTGAAAAACTCAGCCAGCTGGAAATTGAGAGCCGCAGAGACAGAGGGAAAGAGAGAAAGAGAGAGACTGCGAAATTCATTCACAAGGCGCAGCGAATGGCATCCACAAGGCAGAAGGCAGCCCCTACTGTTGTTGTTGTTGTTGTTGCTGCTGCTGTTGTTGGTGGCTGCGTCATGTGGATTGTGGAACTAGGACAGCAGCAGCAGCAGCAGCAGCAGCAGCAGCAGCAGGGAAGCCGAGCCAAGCCAAGGCAGACGGGCTTTGGCTGGGGGGTTTGAAAATTTCATTGAGAAAAACGAGTGCTGGCTGCAGAAG